CAGGAAGAGGAACGGGCTCAGAGCTGATCCCTGGTGTACCCCAACAGTGGAGCTGATCCCTGGTGTACCCCAACATTCTTCATGGTAATTGTGGGAGGTTCTTCATGATAACGACGTGCTTGAGTCCCTTGTACTGGTATAAGGTCCTTTTTCCTATTTAAACTGTGGTCATACTGTCCATGTGCAGGGCTTGACCTCCTTTTATTGATAAAATACAAAATGATCGGTTGAGTAATCGATGGGCACCACTTTATTCCTCAATATTCTTTTACTACTTTCCAGAAGCTTCCAAAAGTTTGATTGAATGAAATAGATGTACGGCATACTACAGAATTAATACAAGATGGGAACAAATAGACATGCAAATATAATGAAAAAAAAAACAAAAGAAACAGAAATAGAAATAAGAAACAGAGAAAACAACACAGGGATGAAGAACTTTAAGCTAGAAAAATGAGCGGTCGGACTCATTATAGCAGTTGGGTCACCCGGTCACGAGCATTCATTCGTATTCCCAGATAGGGAAAGTCGTTATGGCGAGGGTGGATAAATTAGTTTTTAGAGGATTGACGGTGGACTGGTCAGCTATTTTTAGGGTGGTTACTCATACTTCCATAGTAACGGATGACACCAATGACCAAGGAGTAGGAACTGGGAGAACAACTCATCGACAGGAGAATACCCTCAATCCCTTCAAACCGGCTCAACCACCCGTTTGCCACTCTCTTCCCCAGTGCGGTGTACGAAGGACGCATGTTGTAAGCCGGATTTAATTAAGCGATAGCAAAGGCAATATTGGGATGGGTATATTTTAAGATGACTATGTGGTTACCCAGTCAGAAAAGCGCTGAGGCTATAGGTACCCGGGAAAGAGGAACAGGGGTGTATCTGTAGGGGATGGAGTGATGTAAAAAAAAAGCGACTCCAGTGGGATAGACCGAAGAGTCTCTAGGTAAAAGGAAAAGGCAACACTCCATGGGTATTAGCAATTCTGCCACTGAGCAGTACTAATATCTGAGAGAAGAAGGCGACTATAAAAGGAGTTACTTATCATCTTACAACTCAGTATTTGATCCAGAACTTTATCTCTAACAAAGTGGTTTCTCAAGAATCCCAACTACCAGTTTTATTATGCTAATTTATAAGGTTTTTGGCGACTATAAAAGGAGTTACTTATCATCTTACAACTCAGTATTTGATCCAGAACTTTATCTCTAACAAAGTGGTTTCTCAAGAATCCCAACTACCTGTTTTATTATGCTAGTTTATAAGGTTTTTTTTTTGGTGTATGCAGCAGATGTACAGCGAATCTTACACACGATACGAAGTAACAAATTCGATGTTCACTTTATTGGATCACCATCTGGACTCATCCGTGTTGGAAGACCTGAAAAATGCGTAGCTATGCTGTATGGAAATGAATTCGTGAAGGGACTAAGGCTGCTACGTATTTACACTAGGAAACTCCGACGTAGTCGACGTGAATACCATTACCATATTTGATTCTGTATGCTTCAAGTTCGCGTTCTCGTTGCTCTGTGCGAAGTGAATGACGATTTTGCATCTCCGCGCGCTTCAGATTTTGCTGCTGAAACTGAATGGTTAGCATAAAATTAGGGGGCCCAGAATTAGAATGAAAAATAATTAAAATTATATTCTGTCGATATGATTCCTGCACATACGAGCACCCATCACTTGCCAGTAATAATTGCGATAGTTCTACGATAGTTCATTTCAAAGCAACATAGGCTCAATGGATAAGGGCAGTTTACGTTGAAAATGGTTTCTGAGTTTCTTCCCTACGGTCCACTTGGAGGCTGGGAGGGGAGACGGGCGTTAGGAACGATTTTGGGTAATCGATTTGCCGCACGCGGCTGTCGCGGACCACTCATTCGCCGTTATTACAGCTCTAGCGTTCTTCATACAGCTCAATCGATATGTGATCATTATTTTATGCATAATTCTACTATTAGTACTTTTGTTCTTGTATTTCTTACCTACTGCTGCATCCTGCTACATTCCTTCGCGCGCGACGCCCCTCTCACCGCGACGCGAACATTTCGTTCCTAATGCACCACCCGGCTGGGAGGATGGCACAAGGAACGCTGTCAAGTCGAATAAACAGCCTAGATGGGGCGTAATAAGGTCCCCAAAACCGGGGATTATACGAAGTATATGCACACCCAAAGGCGGACGAGTTATCACGGCGTTGTGGAAACTATAAAGGTTGCACAGCTCGCACCACAATGCACATGTTGCACGCAGGCAGTTTTTCGAGTCAGTTGTACACAATGGCACATATTTGGACTACTCGTCCAAAAAACTTTTCCAGACAACTTTTGTCATCACAACCTTGTCCTGCTTCTAATTTTACTGTTTTTTTAAATAGGGTTTTTTAATATTCTTATATTCATCTGAATACACCGATTTTCACGTCTATTTGCCCCTTTTACTCTATTCTGGACTATTTCATTATTCGTCTGAAACTAGTTGCCCCAAAATTAACTTGTACTGTTCCTTCAAGAGGGACGGTTCTACAAATCATTTGGATTGGAGCTAGGATACTCAACAACTGCCAGCTGTGTTCTTACATCGGTGGCGATGAAAATGGAAAATATGCACACATCCCGATATAATATTTAGTAAGAGATTTTCGTCGGGACCATTTGTGGACCCTTATTGCGCCCTATCTAGGCCCCTTATATACGCCTTAGTTTGGTTGTTTACTGCTCGAAGGTTTGTACTTACGAAATTCCACTTTTCTCCTTGTGCCTTGGCTCTCGCCCGTCGATAAGCTTGACATCGACAGTAGCAATAACACAAACAGAAGATGAATATAACTAGGAGTATTCCGGCAATGACGCTGACAACGATGACCACAGCTGGGATATTCACTGCAAAACAACTTATTTAAAAATAGTAGTCTCCAAATGGTGTGTCATTACAATCGGATTCGATCACTAGGAGTGCATAATATAGCTAGCGTATTGTAGAGTTCTTGGGGACAAGGCATACGATTGCCTTATTCGGGGTATGTGTTATTCCACAGCGGTGGGAGAGCCACGTGTAAAGGAAATTGATGGGGATTTTCATCAAAGTAGGTCTAACTCTGCTTTAGTGAGGTGCTTCAACAGATGTGAAAGTCGTAGGTCCTATGATGGTCCGCTCCTTCTTGTCCAGTAAAGAATTTTTCACCTTTTCCGCACTTACCGTTATTTAGTTATTTGCTGGGAGCATGCAAGCTTCAGCCCTTCCAAAGTTCTAAGCTTTATTGAGCTAACGTTTCAGCCTCTTCGCTTTCGTTAGAGCCCAACTAGGATCGATCCTCTGCTACATTAACAACTCAGAAATGTACTGTAGTTTATCCCTGAGTGGTCGATCAAAGGGAGACGGGCGTTAGGAACGATTTTCTGTAATCGATTGGCCGCACGCGGCTGTCGCGGACTTCGCTTCGCCGTTATTACAGCTCTGGCGTCCTNCCTACAGCTCAATCGATATGTTACACTTATTTTTGTCATGATTCTACTGTCAATTCTTTTGTTCCTGTATTTCTTACTTGCTGCTGCATTCTGCTACATTCCTTCGCGCGCGGCATCTCTATCGCCGCGACGCGACAATTTCGTTCCTACTGCACCACACCCGTCGATCAAGCTCTTCGGCGACCAAGTGCATTCGAGTAAACCATATAGCTATAAACTCTTTTATCAATCGGATCTATTGAGTGTTTCAGTTAAAGAGCTGTCTATCCAAAGCTTCACTGTTCCCAGATCAAGAGGGAAGGCAAAAAAGAGGGGTTATTTGATGTGTAGGGCTACTTGTTTTTCAGTAGCAAAAGAGCAGAGATATCCATGTAGGGTCGTATATGTGAGTGTAGATTGAATAAACTTTTAATTAGAACATTGGGTCAGTTAAGTCAACAAGTAGAACAAGGACTTCTCTAGCCTGAATGAAAGAAGGCGTGTAGTTGTTAGTATTTGAGAAAAAAGATGAAAATAATAACAAAGGAGGATACTGACCCCAACATTTGTTATGCTTGACGTCATTGAGCTCACATCCTGGAAAATACCAAGCATACGGTAGACAACGTTCAACGGTTCCACCACAGTAGAAGCACTCCTAAATGTGAATTGCTGAGTTTTACACAATATATAAAACGCTGTTGCCTGTCTGTTTGTTTGCCTGTCTGTCTGTCTGTCTGCCTCTCTGTCTGTCTGTCTGACTGACTGATTGTCTGATTGTCCTTTCCTTTCCACAATTCCCTTCACCTGTATAAGCACACAAAAAGGTCTGGTCAGGTTTGGGATGGGTGAGGAAAGGACAAGATAAAAGGGTACAAATGAGTTCCACGATGGTACGGAGGCTGCACCTGCGCAGAAAGGGATAGCGCCGGGATGAAATAACCTAATTTTTGCTCCGGGAACAGCTCAGATACGGGGAAAATGGGCAAAGATGATTAGTGGGTCAATAAATGAAGTAGAACGGGAACTCCCGAGATGGGAGGAAAGTCCTCGAGGTAGCGGTAAACGAATAAATAACCACATCCCGGAACAGCCATGAGGCCAGAAAAAAATTTGAAAATGTCAAAAATCTAGTGTGTGCCAAGTGCACAGGAACCAGGCGGTGTAACGCCTATGGTGAGCGGAGAGCGGTGCCAGTTGGTACCCATATAAAAATGCTCCAAAAAGGTTCCCTGATTCTGAAAAGTGGTCAGAGACTAGTGATGAAAGGCAGATCAGATATTCATGAAGGGCGTTTGCCGGTGCGGGTGAACCTAGAAGAGAGGAAAACTATACAAAAGTCTCAGGGATTGAGAAAAAAATGGATGTGATCTTTAATCTCAAACTCAGGGAGGTTAGAAGTTAGTGGTGAGCGGGACTTGCGCCGAGATGGGTAGTAGCAGAACGTATTCCCAAGGTCGGAAAAATGCATCCATAAATTCCGTGGATTGAATTGGTTTAGTTTGTCAATTACTGAGTCATCAACATCGTTTATACCCATACACGCAGCGTGCAGCGATAGCTTTGCCCTGACCAGTGAAGTTTTAAAGAAGAACGGGTCACCCAGCTAGGGTAAGAAGTCTGATAAAAAAGGTTCAGAATGAAGCGTATGTCTATTCTGTGATTTGGATCAATATCGATTGAATTCACCAGCTTTTCGTAGAGTACATGAGCCCATATATGTTCAAATATTACAAAAACTATTGATTAGAATCGTCGATTTGTTATTACGCCAGTATTAGTGTGCAGTAGCTCAACCAGTAACAAATAACAATTGTAGTGGAGGCATCAACGATCACCTTTTCAAAATTAGAATGACAGTCAATCCTAGCGGTTCAGACAAGGTCTGGAAGCTCGACGGTGGATGAGGGGATACAACCCTTGAGGAGAATCGGTTCGAGCCTCTCAAGACATTAATGGGTAGCCGACCGATCTGTTTCCCTGTCCCTGTTCTGAGCCCTGGTAGTGTGTTACCCATCTGTTTGATACTTATACTTACCATGACACCTTGATTTGGGTGTCCGACCACACCGTAGTTACCCCACTCACCGTTCCTTTGGCGACGCAATTCTCGCACGTATGCGATTCGTCAGAAGCAAATTCGCAGTATTTCTTCTCGGCTTCCGTGAATTCGCCGAGACCAACAAGTTCAGATAGCACTTGCGTCTGACATAGATTGATCAGAATTAATAGAATCCATAGACAGAGCGTCACGTCGGCTGACAGCCTACATAACATGGCCGTCTTAGAAGCTCTTCCAGACGGTCCTGAAAGAATTAATTCAATGTTCTATTCAGTTTTCCAGAACTCTGGACAGTTGCAATCAGGCACATTGAATGAAATGAAAGTTGAACTTGAAAGAATTGTTCATAATCTACAATACGAAGAGAACTATCTGGTCATGGGAACTGGAATTCCCATACAAGAGCAACCTAGTTATTCGGTCTTGTTTGTTTCTTAGAATGGCCAGAGATGGGTAGGAAGTAATTGTTGAGGCAATTGTAAAACTGAAGCTTGAGCTTTCGAGAAGGGCGATTTGGCCGGCCCAGGACGCAGCATGATTCGCCTAGCGACCACGTTGGTAAACGAAAAACCAAACGGCACCATGACGGCGGTACAAATAACAGCCGGGAGACGTTGCCACTCACTTACCAAGCAACGCTGACAAATTGAAAGTAACTCGGAAAACCTTCCCCAGTATTTTGAAAGGATACCTACTGGAAAGTATTGCAAGGATGTGGTAGAGCTATTTTGAACTATTAAAATTCTAAGGATACAATCGGAGTAAAATTATGTACGGCGCATTTTTGAGATTTTCTTTGTTTGCCCAGGGCGGAGGTAGTGTATGTGGTGGCTGGCGAAGTGGCTCATTATCACGTGTTTGGCCTGGAAATCGAGTCCCGAATCGATACCCACCCAGTCCAACCAAGCATTCCGCACTCTGTAGTCGGTTAATTGGTACCAGATTCCTCTGGAGAGATAAAAGCAAAGGCTGTTCATCGCATGGCCACCGAAAGCTTTTATATGGGTTACATTCGCATTCAAAATGTCATCACAATTTTGAATAAAGTTCGAAGGCGTGGCGCATCCCCAACATGCGATTGATCAAGGGCACAGAACTTAGGAATGCTCTTCCCAAGACTACAATGTTATACATGATATACATGATGATGTTAATGATAATTTAATTGTTAATGATAATGTTAATGATAATTTTTTTAATTGTAATGTTATACATGATGATACAGAAAGGAAGGTTGTCCAAAATTGTATCAAGAATTGCGGATATGATACTTTTTTTGACTTTTTTTTTCAGGATTGGCTCTTTATTCTCCAAAAGGCTCTCTCACTTATCTATTTCTACAGTAGTTTCATCACGTTGAAGTAGGCTGCACTTCCTGAACTGATTTTGTGCTCGGCAGTGACTTCCAGCTCAGAGTACACGGGACTACCATTGGTACCACCTTACACCTATTGTCTGTTCACTTGCCCTTCCTAAACTGCGGAGTGATGAACCTCAACTTTCTAATAGAGCCTTTCATTAGATTGCAATTGCAAAATTAACTTAAAACCTGGGTATACTACATGTCAGAAGAAGTATTTTTGAGAATCGGCCCACCCTCTTTGAATTTGAATCGATGGTACGGTCATTAATATGAATCATGATGATTTTGTAAAAAAAGGTCCATGCTTTTCCCTCCATGCCATCTTATGAATGCTAAATCTGCAATCGGAAAAGCCTCATTACCTTGAAGATTTACGATTTAACGACTTCAGGACAGCCCCTAACTGTTCCCTCAGGGTACCTATTTTTATAGTGGAAAAAGTAGGAACGCTTCGTATTCACTGCATATGCTTTCCCTCATTGACATGCATGGAGGACCGTTTCAAACGATTTTCTTAGTTTCTAAGAACCACCGCCATTACCCGTTTTTTGGTTTCCTAGCCATGAACTCGTAGAGAAGGGCACCACCAATGCCTGGTATCAATGTTTGCCGAAAAAACTTGTTTGTTCGTTCCAATATCTATTCAGAAATGCAATGAATATCGTGAATAATACTATCGTTGACAGAGGATGAACGACAGGGCCGAAATACAGCTCTTACGCCATCGTATGATAATGATAAATTCTGTTTTGGAATGCGCCACAGATAATCCTGCCTCGATAAATAAACTTGCCCTTGGATGTTTCATTGTTTTTTTCCATTTTTAGAAGTGTTCGGTAACGGGTCCTCGAGGGTTTCGCCTAAAAAAAGGGGTTCCGCCACGGTTTGACCTATCCACCGTAACTCTACTAGTTACTAGAGCAACCTCAAAAGGCGTACGTGTGTGAGGTTGATTAAATGTGAATTCCGTTCACAAAATTTTTATGGGTACTTCTTGCCTTTTGAGGTGGAGCCAGAATTCCGCTACAAAATAGTGAGAGGCTTAATAAAGTCCAGTGCCATCGCTCTGATTTGCTTGAATAGAACAGAGGGGTGCCATCTGTTTACAGAGGGTATGCACAGAATGGTGCTTCAAAAACCGCCACTACCATGGATTGATTACGAATATGCAGCACATTTTACTGGCCAGAAAATCTCCCTCCTTTCGGAAAAAGCAGTGCTTTATCATGCCCTTGGGTACGAATATGAATTCTTCGTTTTTGGAGATTACTATAGAACACTACTGCAAGTTGCCTCGTGCCAGAGACAGGCTTTTTTAATCATGACCAGGGCTCTAACTTAAGTTCGAAATACGCTGTTGGTTTTCCGAAACTCAAAGGACATGCTGCTGGAAGTAAGCGACTATGAACAGACAGCCACCTATCGATACCAATGAATGGGCTCTGAAAACAAAGCCCTAGCTGAGGAAAATGCTCTCACAAGCGACTCGGTGTTTGCTTACTACACGGTAGCGCCAGCCCTCACATCGAAAAGTCCACTGATCAAGCTCTTTACATGACGGACTTTCACATCCACCATGTAGATGTGACATTGCTCAAAAGGACTCCTTCTGCTCGATTCCCGGCATAGCAGTTGCGGAAGAGAAGTTCAAGAACCACAGCTTCCCCAGATCTCTACAAGTCTGATTAACAAACCACTCCACTGTAGGTAAGTAACGTTCGGACTCCACCTAACCCAGAGATGTATTTCGAAAATCATGGTGGAAATTATAGCGTTGTATAACTAGTTTCTGAATAAAAAAGATCAAAAAAAGCGATCGTAATGCGGAGAGGAAATCTAGTACAGCCTGATATATTGTGTACGTAAATGGTATTGACTAGTAATGCTGTTTTTGTAATTTCATCATAACGACAGGAAGTACCAAAATCAAGCAACATAACAGACAGAAAAACATGCCGACTGATGCGAAACATGGAATTTTGAATAGGCAGGACGTATCGAACACATGACTGTAATCTCACATTAATTTCGGTGTACTCGACGGTTGGCTGCCCGTGAGTTTTTGGCAGGAAATGGATCGGGGGAACTAGTCCCTTTCTTTTCCGACGTGATGGTCTATTGATTTTAACATTTATTCAGCCGTACTGTCAATCGGCATCATTCATCTCTTCGCCATTGACAAATGTGTAGAATTTTTAGATATGACATCATAAACGGATAAAGATGGAAAGTTATGAAAGCGATTCCGGCATACTGTAGCGTCAAAAAGAAGTAAAAACGGAGCTCAAGGCTGAGCTCTAAACTTGAGGCTGCTGCGCTGAGTAATTCCCGACTGCCTCTCCATCGATTAACGAAATCTCGTTCTGAGAAAATTTTTCGATTTTCTTGAAAAGTCGGTCGTAAATTTTAACGATCGTACCATTGTCTAGCTCTACTTACTCCACAACTGGTTGACGAACCATCCCATTCTATATGCATTGATGAAATAAGTTCTACTGACCAAACCTCCAAGAAAATTAGTCGCCCAAACCGTTTCCGAAGACAGCTCATATTTATTTCAAAAAATATGTAGATTGAGCAAAAAAGAATAGCGTAAAGATTCGGTCGAGAGAAAGCAGTTCCTGCACGGTGAGAACAAATCCTTCATTCTTATAGTTATAAGAATGAAGGATTTGTTCTTATAACTATAAGATTCGTGACAACAAAAAAAAACTGGAAAAACAAAAGCTTTAGATTAAAAAGGCCATAATAAAGTTGGAAAGGATGAACTCTTCGGGCACACCTTTTGAAGGCTGGCCCGCCCACGTATTCGACTTCCATTCAGAATCGTAGTGACATAGCGTTTGAATGTGTATTTGGCCTTACAAGGAACTGTGATGCTCGACCGATGTGTAAGACAGGGCTTTAACGCTCCCAGAATGGGTAAACCAGTAGGTACCAACTATAGGAGCGCAGAGTCAGGGAAGGCTTGGTTGAATTCGGCAAGCATCGATTTGGGATTTGATATTCCGGATCATGGGTAGTGGTAGTGCTCCACTTGCCAATAGTCCACCACTGGCCAAAAAAGGTGAAAAAAACAATGAGTATACAGTCAAAGGCGAAGGATGAACCGAGAACAATTCTGCGTACGCTTTTTGAAGATGTGTATCTCTCCTTTATCAAGCATTTTTCCAATGATTGATCATGGTCCCTTCAATTGCCCTGTTGTCCTTTGAAAGGCAGCTTGTGAACGTAGCTGGAAAAAGACTTGGGTGAGGAAGACCAGGATGACCCGCATCTAAGCTCGTTCCCCGCTTCTCCCTCCCCACCGCTTTTTCTCTAAAGAGAAGGCGGTGAATCATAAAACAATTACCTGACACAATGATGTGGATCTGGCCATCAGAATTACATCTGATGGAGAAGCGTAGAAAAGAATTTGTGAACACATCAGAGAACTGAGAAAAATCACAGGCAAACATGAAATTTTCTAGAGAACGAGTTATTCATTCGCCCTATAAAAGTTATATTGTCCGCAGATAAACGCTGGCTTCAGATTTCTGAGCAGGAAGCTGTCGACAGAGAAGAATCGAAAAATGAAGTGTGGTTTTGAAAAAGAGGATATTAGCAACGAGAAGAGGCAAGCGGTGCTGAGAGTAAGAATTATTGCGTGTACACGATGCTTTGCATGGGTTATAGGTTCCATAACTGGTAAAAAAACGTAGCCACAAAACATTATCGATTTCCGCCTATAAATCGCCCTTCAACAATATCCGTTCACTTTTCTGTTACTATATAACTGACATATTTGATTGGTAAAAATTCTTTCGCAACGATCCTTACACAATTGGCATGATTGGAACTTGTTGCTACAGAGTATAAACCTAGTTAAGTGGTTACCCGTTGGTAGGGATTCTAAGACTTATAGGTTCACTGGAATCACCCTAAAACAAACAAAACACCCAACCTGGTCCAAAGATTGGATGGAAGCTAATTTATGTGGAGTCTTCTAGCGGAGGGAGGGCTCGGCAAATGTGAATGGGTGAGTTCTCGAATGCCATCTAGGGAACTTAGCCTGTGGGCAGGACGATTAGCTGTTTTCATGGGTTTTTCGTACTTCTTGAAATGCAGAGAGAAATCCGAAAAAGCGGATCGATTCGGTACCAGACCCGTCCCATAAATGGATTTGCCCAATCTTTCTTCATCCAATGGACCCAATGAACGATGGGAGAGATTGAATGAGATATTGGCCGCTCGGAATCGCTAGATGAAAAACCGAAAAATGAAGTGAGCAAGTGAATGAGGTAGACGGCAGCGCGGTGTTTCGGTGTTTGCCATCATTCGTTCGTATATTTATTGACTGAGTTCTCGCTGGTGGATATGGCAGGCAGTCGCTAAGCACACACACACAGACGGACGGAAATCGGCAAAGGACCACAGGTGAACAGGGGGGTTTATGGGGGCGTTTGGAAATGCTATTGAAATGGAAAGCAGTTCATTATGTTGCCGCTCCTTTTCCTATTCAAATGCCGCATCGATTCTATGGAATCGCTTCTGGACCAAATAGGTGGCCCTAAACGAAGATTTTTCAATGAATCATTTACTATTCATTTTCCATCTACTCCTGCAGAATGCCCCCCTAAGGGTAAACTCTTCGAGTAATCTCTGAAAAAAATATCGAAATACAACGTATAATTCTCTTCTGTGAATTTGTTGGAGCATTTGGAGTTGTTCTGTCGGGAGCTTAAGCATCCGAAAACATATTCACCCAAATAACTCCGCCCTGCGTGGAAGTCACGCCCATCCAGAGCCTGAAAGCGTGACCGACTTTGCTTTACTGCCATGAAAATGCCATTCAACTATATATTTCTGAGATCTGATTCACAACTTTCTTGAATAGGGTCCCTTTTTGTATTTTATGGCAAATTTTCACAGCACCCGGCCATTCTAGCCAGTCCTAAAGCCATTATTGAAGCATATCCTCTCCTGTACCCGTTTCAGAGCTCTAACCGTTCACTAGATGAACGCCAAGTACAGTGGAGAGGTATTTCACACGAATCACATTGTTTTACAGGAACGAATATTTTGCCCTTCTTCACAAAAATATCTAATTCTAGGACAATGAGGGCCCGGTAAGTTCAGAGGGATGCATTGATGGGACGTCTTCTTCCTCCCCACCTCCTCCCCCACTCCCCCCTCCCCGCAGCGTTAATCCCACGCTTTTGCAAAGTCCGGCAGTGCAAAGTGCAGTGAATCGCAATACCTCCGTGACGGGCTCATCTGGGAAACCACCCGATCTATACCTGTCTTGTTTCCTCCAACTATCGTAGACCTCCTCCATCCTGGAGGGAATGCTTCGACTCTCACTTAGGCAGTAGACTCACTGAATCGAATTGAATACCAACCAAAAGGGCGAAGGGTTATTTGTTACTGCGGGTTTTGCTGGGATGAGAGCACTTCATTCTAGCAAGTTTTTTTCCCTAGAATGAATTCAAATTGGACCCACGAAGCCACATTCTAACGTAATTGAAACAAATCAACATAATGAGAAATATTTATTCATTTCACTCATCGTTCGATCGACTATCTCGCGGACGATTTCCCTGAAACGTGAAAAATCATTCGAAGGTAGTAGAGCGTACTTTATGCTATTCTAGACTTATTCTACTAGACGGTAATATGTAACAATGAAAAGGGTGAGTTGGTAGGGAATACTTTCAAAAAACGGAATCGCATCAGCAGGCATCATGTTTTTGAGTGGTTGTACCTCTGTAATTTTCAACCTGTGCCAGGTGCAGATGTGTTTGGTTGGTTACTTTGCACCCCTCGATCGTACTTTGTACCCTTCAATAGTGTCAACGTCCCCGACAGGCTCTAATGCTGGTAATGGCAACATGGTACAGGTGTTCACAACCAAGAAAAAACACAAAGGTATCTGGACAAATTACAGAGAATCATATAAACACTATTCTGACCAATCGTGGAGCCTGATACGAGTTTATCCAACAGTAAAAGTGCTTCGGATTCTGGTGGGAGCCTTCCTTTAATAAAATGTAATGCAGTATGGTTCGTTGATTTGATGAGAGGAGCTACCGTAGACTGGGGAAGAATAGAGGCATGCCGGAGGTTAAATGGACCTGCTGTCAACCATGATCACCAGGAAGACTGGGAATGAAGTGTTTGGATTGCCTGAGCTAAGTTTGTTCATTGTTATCACTAACTTCCCTGAAGAGTATCTCCACTATTTACTATGACCCTTTTATTTAGATTAAATGCTAAGCCTTGTGGCTACCACTTCTGTGGCCGTGGGATCAAACCTCGAACCAACACCTGATGAACCAGGTCTCCCATTTAGTTCAGAAAGCTGTGCTTTCAAGAATGTTTGGATCGTGACCTGGACTTTTTGGGTCCACGAAGACAAGGGTATAATGAGCTGGTTGTTTGAACACATCAATTCAGATGTGCACCCAACTTACGCTAGGGTCCGCTGACTACTCCTTTCTAAAACATCTCATTAGTTTTATGGAGGAGGTGACCGGTCCAACCCCTCACAACACAGATCTTGGATAACTCGAACATCCCCTATTCTGCCAAGGCCGAAGAATAAAACTTGAAGAGGTCACCCGATGTACCTAAATCGCGCTCGATCCTAATAATTAACAAAAATGGAATGAATCGATGCTGGGACATTGGACAGACCTATGTTTTCTTACACATTCACTCTCCTAATATTAGTATATCCACAAATACATGTATTGCCCAATTACCACTCATATACCTGGGAACCAGTAACTACAGCAATCTAGCAAACTAAGCAGGAAAGCAAAAGTCGAGCCGATGAACCAGAAAAGATTAGCCCTAGATGAAAAGGGGTAGGAAGAAGGCTTACATTTACAAAGGCGTCCTCCAGCAGAGTTCCAATCGCAGGCACAAGCATCACCCCACGTGTTCAATTCGCCCTGTTGACAAATTGGACGTGAACAATCCGGTGTCGTGAAGTCAGATGTGCAGGAACACATACTGGCTCCAGCACTTCCACCATTCTGACACACTGAAATACAGAACCTAATAGATTGGAAGGGTAAAACATTCTTGAAGAGCCTGGCACAGAGCTTATATTCTTAGCCGGTTCCGTTAATTTTGAGTTCCAAGGAAAACCTATAATCATCGATTGCAAACGATCTTTTCATTCGTGCTTTACATTCCGAACATTCGACATTGGAAATTTTAAATGCGTTGAGAACTCACCCATTTGAGAAGTGACTCCAACAGGTATTACTCGATTCACCGTTGTCGTTCCATCAGTCAGGGGAACCTTAATTTCATGAATGCGATGAACTTGGAGGAAAAGTTCATCGAAATATGGACTGTTTAATGAGATTCTGGAGTAAAGAGAGAGATCCAAAGCTTTTAACCCACTACTACCAATAAGTCTGATGCCGTAAGAATACGACCCAACCTGGGATCGCCTTGGAGCTTTAGTAAGCTTTTAAACGACAACTTTTGCGCAGCATGCCAGAAACTCCATCGTTACAGAAAGTAGTTCTTCATGGCCATGGGAGATCTGTTTGCGCTGCGCAAAACTCATTCTACTTTGCAGCTCCGGACACATGGCCACATTGAACTGAGGGCACCCGACGGCTACTTACATTTTCGGACGATTGCATGGCTCAAAGACCTTTCGATTTTTCATTGACGCCAGTCATCTGTGATCACTTCTATACACATGCTTTGGTTATTACAAATGCTGTTGGAATGATTCTGACAAAAAAANAAAAAAAGTGAATAGAGTAGGCGAAATGCACCCGAGTAAAACCTCCTCGTCCTCTTTTACTTCGATATGGTGAAAATTCATTGTGACAACGGTGTTTACTTGAAGAATCTGGTGTAGCCATTGGGGGAGGTTGTCGGGTCGGGAAACGGCCGAGATAGTCAGCAATAGGGGCTCAAAGACCGTCTGCGTCTGCATCGAACGGACGTGCTTCAGTGGCCATGTGGAGGCTACATAGTTTTGTAGCAAGTATGTTGGAAATTTGATGACCTGATCATCCGGGCAGTAGCAACAGTGGAAAGCTATTTTCGCTAGCAGGGATACTGTAGCCAATTCTCTACGCAATTGTACACTGCTGAAATCTCGTCCAAAGGATCCTCTGTGGTGAACTCGTACAACCTACAATTTTGACTACTTTCAAAAACCTTTTATTTTGCTACCTCGGCGGTTTTCACGCTTTCTTCAACGCCGCATGCAGCACAGCACATCACTTCATCACCTCAGAATTATGGTGAATTACGGATTTGAATTGTGAAATGGAATCGTTAAGGTAAAAGTAGGGCTTACCGTAACGCTATTCGCACCAGGACTCATGGGTGGGAATACGCTGAAGGCAGTATATCCAAAATTGCATGTTGGACGAGCTGAGACACGATAAATCGAAGTATTATCTCGGGGTGCATGCCATCCAGGTGGCAGTGTCAAAGCAATTGAAGGACCAGCAGCTGAAAAAAAGTATCAGTCTTTCATTTTATTGATTGAAGGGCAATCAATTCATCGATTGGTACCAGAGTCAGGTGAAGCAAATGCCGTCCATTCATCATCCGTCCTCTCATTGACGATGGTAAACGAAGGAGTGAGTCCATTGAGAATTACTACAGACGCTGAGTAATCCTTAGAGTTGAAGCTTGAGATCACATATTTCTTTGCACCCTTCAGCTTGTACACTGCACTGAACCGTCCAATTACTGCAACTGGTACAAGCATATTGCCGTCATCTGAAAGATAAATTTCACTTCATGGTAGGGAACTGGGTGGTATCGCTGAATTTCTGTACCGCTTGCGACTTCGACTGAATTGACGTCTCGATAACTCAGGAAAACGTATCCAGTAGCACCAGATTCCACTGTTACAGGAGTATTTCCGACCTGCTTGGGAGTTAGGAGAGCCAATGATGTGACACTGGATATTATCTCTGAGAACGCCTAAATTGCAAGGAATCAGACCACAAACGGGAGTAACAGACAAGCCACCAGTACAGTTCCCTCTCCGAACAGGGAGCAGGTATTCCCTAAGCCTACGAAGGTGGTCATGCTAACGAATCCACCGTTGTTACCGTCAGATTACTTCAAGCGCTTGTTTCAAGTGATCAACGAGGAACTGATCGACTTACACTGAATTGAGGTGTAGTTGGATTCCCGTCCACAAACAGAATATTCCCTCCCGTTGAGAATGCCGCCGCTCGGAGATTCTTGAAATCATCATAGGGCAGGGAATCTTGTCCACTCGGGTCCATAGCAACCAAGTACATCTGAAATGAGCTTAAATTCAGTATGAAGAAGTAGAGACACATATGACAAGGAGGATCACGAGCATATCCAAAACAAAACTTTGCTCGAGCCTCCAAGTCTACAATCCTTGGGATGTAATTGAGAAATTGTGCCGGCAATCATCTAGGAGAAACAGTCAATGAACAGCAGTGCACCCCGGCGCAGCAGTATGGAGCAAGTACGTTCAAACACTTCCACGGTAAGAATCAAACCATATGCATGGTATTCCAAATCATTGATCTTACATGAAATTCGAACGTAATGTTGCTGGAGGCCTTTCTTGTAGGGAGTCGTGAACGATGGTCCAAAAATTAAAAGCCCTGACTATCTGTACAACATTTGGTGGGATTGGAGGTGTTTTGGGGTAGGTGTTGCATCAAAGCTATGTTGCAGTGACCGGTTACCGGTTCGATACCCACGCTAGCCGTCAGAGTGCTCCATCCCTCGGCCTTGTCTAGAGGGATAAAAGCACTGAGTTGTATCGCCTAGACCTAATACGCCCGCCTCCAAAACGCCACTATCTTCTTGAATGGAAGTCGGATGCAAAGGTGCACTGCGAAAAACGGGATTAGCGCGGAAGGCGTAGTCGTTCAGGACGAATTCGGCAGACTTCCCTCAAGACAAAAAAAGCTGCGCTCATAAAAGTGGTCCGCCGAAGAATCTTAGGCACTGCCGTAGGTTAATTTAGTGACTTACCTCCTGTCGGTAATTTCGTGATATACTGATGAACCTTTCCATGTCCACTTGCATATACGTCTGTTTTTCAGTGTAGAACACCTGAATTGTGAAAAACTGTGTTTCCACTACGCAGAGTTGCTCTAGTGTTTTGACCCCACCGAAAACTTCTATGGAAAGGAAGGTCATTGGATTGCATGGCAACTCCTCATTCCTTGGTAGTGCTAGCAGATGTCTCTCAAAATACCTCAACTTACAATTATTCCTCGAACAAGACGACCTAGACCGCTGACGGCCGCTTGGAAGACATCAGTCAGGTCAAACGGATTCTCCTGGTACGCCGTTCCGCTACAGAAAATTCCAAGACCCCGAAGATCAGACTTCATTGCTTTACTGAACTCATCGAAGCTTCCGCCTATATAGACAGGCAAAGCTGAAAAGATTATGATTTGGACCTGAGTTTGACCTTAGTAGTTGCCTGAAATGACTTAGTCGAGCTATCGTTGTACACTGCTCTGCCGTAAAGGTTTACTATGATAGAATCGCTTTAACCGGTCGACACTTCGGACGAGTCGTCGTTTTCAGAGACGGACGCTTCGGACGAGTCTTCAAATGGATGTAGTTCGAAGCCCTTGACCTGCGGTTTACCCGACTAAATGCCCAAACGCGCTGAAGTAACATTTGGGCGCTGCTCAGGGAATTCACGGATCAGAGCTCCGGACTACTTTCGGGTTCTCAAAAACGATGACTTCTTGTGACCGTCGGCCGAATAAAGCTGTTCTATCATAGCAGACCTGAGGGAATAAGCAGTGGAAATCATTATGGGGCATGCCCAGGCTTCTAGATGTAGAAAACGTAGGAGTTACTGTGCTGACCTTTTTTATTATCACAATATACGATCAGCTGATATCGCCAGATCGTAGGCGGTTCACTTTTCAGCGATACCATATTGCTTGCGTCCTCCAGCAATACATTTTCCAGACCGTAATTAAACCAATCCACTCCGATTACTACTGTATAACTACGGTACTGTACATCTACTCCCTCAGTAGATGTATTCGATTGGGGACAGATTCCTACAAAACATTTAGAAGTCACAGATTTGATTGATTTCAACCAAAGATGTTAACCTACCTGTCTCACATGATTCTCCAGTAAATCCAGGATCGCATTGACAAACATAAGAACCTCCTAAGTTATCATACACAAGGTGACCTCTGTCTGAGCAATCCCGTAATTTGCCGGTTGGTCCTGAAACGAAAACCTTCGAGGTTTGTGCAACAACAAATATCTGTATTTAGTAAAAGGAAAAATTAAGATTATGGAATGAACAATAATTTCACAAAGTTTCGAATAATATCTACCAGATGCCCCTACCTCAGCTACACTTTCCGTCTGTGAGTGCCGTTCCAGAGAAAGGGACGGCGGACATTTTCCTTCTCGTTACTGTTCCCGTAGGTAGTCATGTCAACGAGGGGTAAAAAGACTACAAAGACACTCGGGGACTTTGGATAACGATGGCGCTTGCCCTGCCATGACCGCGGGTCTCCCCATAGTGAAATCGCTCTTACATGTACCCTTTACCACACGATTTTGCTTACAACTTTACTGAGTGTAGCCGTAACAGGTCTCCTAACAACTATTCTCCTACACATTCACAGAGTATCAAAGCCTTAGGGTATAATAAGACTCGTTTGTGGGATGCGCCAAGGCATTCGGTCCCCCTTCAAAATTGCTGTGGAGATGTGAACGCGTATGTGGCAAACGATTTGTAATGACCTGCCCACCTACGAACCTTTGCTTTTAACCCTCCATACGACCTTAGTACAAATTAGCCGAAACCTCCCAGATGAAAGGCATGAATGACTTGTGCGGATATGGAACCGAAATTTGATCCCACGACCATGTGTGTGGTAATGTGTGCGCCATTTGCCATTATACTAACTCCTCCCATGCCTATTTATATTTGCAACACTCAGAAATTTACCTCTGTAAAATGGACTCGACTCTTCACTGCACTCAAAATCTCCTTTACTATTCTTCTGAAGACAGTTAGGGGCGTTCTCGAGGCTGCTTGGGGAGCATAAAAATGAACGCATCTCGGACAGGCCATCAGAAGATGTATACTGGAACATGGTGCTACTGTTTAGGCCGAGGATGTTTATATAACTTACTCGTACCTGGACATGGTACTTGTTCTGTGTCCCGGCAGCACATTGTCCAGCTGTTGAACTGTTTGCAACGCAGAAAAACGGTACAAAAAAGGCATCACCAGCATTGGTCACTTGTTGCCATTGATTCGCATCGTAGAGCTTGACTGCACCACCTTCGCAATCTCGAATATCGATCGAGAGCTGGAAAGATGATCGGCTTCACTCATATATTAACAAGAACAGTTGATTATTTTGATTTCTTGGGAAAATTATTATGAATACGTTATTTATTGTTTTTGTAGGTAAAAAAATGTTCGTAAAACAACAAATATGCGTCTTAGATAGGGAGTAAGCAGAGTATCTAGCAGCACCGGAATTCAATTAGAGAGAGACAAAAAGTCTTAGGCTAACATAAAAGAGAAGACGAAAAAACAAGGATTGGTTCGTTTCGCCTCTTAATCATACGAACCAATGCCAGTCATCACCCGATGCATCTTCAGTGATTGAGTGATGACTATAAAATTGGAATCGATATAGATGTCACAGTATAGCATAAAAGAGACGCGAGTAAATAACTGTTACGAGAATAATAATAAGTATGCAAATAATGATGTGGAGAAGCATCCAGAAATCTGAACTGCTAGGTACTGCTAGGTGGAGTTTAAGTAAGATCTTTTCCCGCCCAAACGGTCTTAGAGGACCGCTAATATAATAGAAGTGGAATGTGTCAGGAACAAATCAGACCCGAGCATTAAGTTAGTTAGAAAATATAAGTACTATTTAAAGGAGGCAACCATAAATCGTATTCTATGTTCAAATCAGCAGTGAATTCAGCAGCAGTAGAGGAGTTACTATTGCGAAGAAATTCCACAAAACTGTAGTAAAATTAGATCATAATCTAGGTACAGGCATGAAAAAGTCATTGAGAACCGGGTCATTCATACAGACAGTTTCCGGGCTAACAATATAACACCGTTGTGAGGGAAGAGAATGTTGTTCACATTGTCACATTGACGCAGAGGAAGGGGGTTAAGGTGAGGGGAAGGCATTTTCTACCTCACGGTCATGTTGACTTTTTGGGAATTTTTTGTATTTTTCATTAGATGTCTATATAATGCTGCAGTGGGAATCTCTCTTTAGAAACTCGAATGGAAATACGGATAGGTAGAGACACTAGAATATTTAGTCTCCGCAGATTTGTTTCCCCAAACAGGTAAACAAAAAGGAACTTACATTAGCGCCCGGAGATCCACCGAAGACAGTCACTCGAGTTGCTGCGCCGTTCACTGAAAAAAAANAAAAAAAATACCAAGCCGTTAGAGGGTGAGGAGTTTGACGCAGAACAATTCAGTGATCATTGTATCTGATTCTTAGACTCGTGTCACAAACATCATAGAGGGTGAGCTAATGTCTTGTACCAGATTCTGGTTCCCGCCGGTTTTGTTACTAGCAGAAGAGAAGTCTAAAGCCTTGCCAACTATTATACAACATTCATGCGCTTTGAATCAACCATTGAAGAAGGGTGACTGAAGATAATTCAAGAATCAGTTAATGGAAAGATCGGGGATTGGACCCTTAGCGGGAGGTACACATCCATGAAGACGGCTGTTATGGCCTTAACACCCAGTATACAAGGCGGAGGAAGAACAATCTTGTCTGAAGTCCAGGAAACTATATAGCTAAAGGGAGCGGTCTTTTGACACACTCCCTTCGTTTTTTCCCTGAGGGTATGACAATATTGCCTCCCTACGCACCTGCACAAGTTTCTGTTCAAAGGAATAGAAGCGTACCGGTATCAGGTCCCGTGGGAAGAGGTTTCATGTCCAAATCCGCATACTGTACCTTCAAGTGTCGATCAGTTCTGCAAAGACTGAACTAAGTTTTTCGTTCAGAAAAAACTGCTTCTCTTCAAGGCGAAACCCTATGAATATAAAGTAAGCGGACGATGTAGTGCTGCCATTGAAGACCTCAATGGGCTGACAGTTCTTCATAACTGGATTGATGGCTACTTTGTTCGGTTCCAGCTAACCATCAACCTTGGCAAAAGGCAATATCAAAGTACCTTGGTATCCACATCCTTATATGGACGTCTTTCCCCAAAGCATACGTCATATCCACAATCACATTGAATTCATCTGATTCCAAAGTCACAGTATCCGTGAAGAAGTTGGAATTGTTCTGAAAAACTGGTACTGTTTCCAAAAAACCACTTGACAGACACTAAATAGAAATGAGGGAGGGAGCGGAAATTTCAAACAGTGGCCAAAGAGAAGCTGTCCCACTTGGACGCTAGAGCCGAATGAAGCTTTGGAGATCCCCTCTTTGATGCCCTCCTTCAAAATTCCTTCCCTAACGGGGTGAACTGTGTGGGTGTGCCGCGAAGTCGCGAGGTCTATGGCAGGATGCATAAGTGGTCGTCGGGGGACACGGGCAGTAGGAACGGTTTTGGGTAAGCGACCCGCCGCACGCGGCTGTCGCGGACCACTCATTATTGCAGTTCTAGCATTCTTCATACAGCTCAATCGCTATGCGATTATTACTTTTAGCATGATTCTACTGTTCTTTTGTTCGTGTAATTCTTACTTGCTGCTGCATCCTGTATACTCCTTCGCGCGCGACCTCTCTCTCGCCGCGACGCGACGATTCGTTCCTGCTGCACCACACCCGGTCGTGGGCAGCATCTAAGCGCCCTGACTTAATGACGCACATCCAATAGTTGGAGTACCTGAGGGGTCGTGGTCAAAAATAAGCGTGGTTGGGGTGGGAGAATCCTCAGTAAGAAACAGAACTTAAGATTGAGGGTACATCAAGCTATATTTCAGAAGACTCACAGGGTGCTTGAGTGATGCAACGATTTCATTTGTGGAACTTTTGAACGTGACTTTTATGTTGAAATCTCTCAAATCAGGGGCTTCTGAAAGTATATTAAAAGTAGTTAAAAACTGTCGTCGCAAAAGGAAATACTTACAACTGAAATACTAGTTAGAGGCAGTCGCTACTCTGACTGGGTCATATAGGAAGTGAAACAATAAAAAATGTATGTGAGCCTTTTCATGCCGGCTCTTCGACAAACAGTACTATGTAGTGAAACTTTAAGGCCCTCACCCATGGTCTAGAGCGATCACTGCTTTCAGCTGTTAAAGCATGCCCCGCAATAAGACGTTTAATTTAATAACAAAATTAGTACCCTAACCTCAGTGAATGCGATACCATTTTATTTTCGAATCGAGCCTTATATGTAGAAGTGAACTGCGAACAAATTTAACAAGAATAACTGTGAGGGTTCAAATTTTGTCCCTAAATGGTTCTATGTGAACCTCTAATATGGATTTTTGCAAAGGACTGTGACTGATCAGAACACAGCAGTCAGTGTTTAAAAAATTGTCAGCCAGTATAGAAAATATGGTAGATTTCACACTAGTTTTTGACACGGATTCAACAAATGAAAAAAGAAAAAATAAGATTGTTAGCCCAGAACCGACAATTTTACTTTCCTGCTGATCGTATAATTTCTTGTTTCTTGATATCATTTTCTAAGGTAAATAGGATAATGTCTTGGGCATTATCAGTCCCGTTTTGGTTACCCCTTCCCCTCCCCCTACTTATTCAGTTACCACTCGAAATTTTAATGGTGCGTATAAGACAAATATAATGACTTGCGGTTGGCGACCGACGTACAAGTCAACACTTTCAACTTCCCAGAGAAGCCTGATACCAATGAACCGGCCTCAAATGGGTGAAAGACCCGGTTGGTTAGGACGGATCTCGATCCGCGTTTAATCACCGTGACATTCCTGTGTGATAGGGTGATACTTGCCACGACACTATATCTACCCTTGTGTTACCACGCGAGGAAGAAAATGAAACTACTTCAAACTGTGTAAAGAGCACATGATATAAAAAGAAAAAAAATAAACCAAAAAATATGTGAGTTAAAGTAGAGGTCGGGAGCTGCAAATGACACTGCATACTGGTATCAGACTGATTCCGATCAGTTCAACTGGGCATTCCGTACAGGAGCATTCCGTAGATACATGTCGGAATCCACTGAATTATAAGCCCAGTAACCCTTTGAAAAAGCGTAGAGCAAATAGGGACTCTAACTTATTTGCGGTCCTGAACTGAAGTTGAACAACTGGAGCACTTCATCTCAAGATCGAACAACGCCTTGTGGTTAGTTCATCGTCCTCCGTAACAAAGCCATGACCCATATCAATCAGCTGTTCTTGGCTAATGCGAGAAGCAAGTCCTTCGTGATATTTCCCTTTATACTCTCGCTGTTTGTGAGAAGACTGGATCCGAATGGGCCATGTCAACTCGATGCCAACCAGGCAACTCAAACACTAAAGCGACTTTTCCAAGACTCCGCAATCAAGTCTGAACCCTGCTACTTTGAACGTTTTCAGAGAAAACTCAAGAGCTTTCCCAGGTAGCTACCATATCGTAAACAAACAAATAAACAAGAAAAAAAATTTCCAAGTCATAAGTCTTACCATAAACAGACGTAGTTGCAGTGATCGTAACCTGCACCTTTTCCTTTACTTCCAACTTGCCTAAGTCTGTCGACGAAGCTTCATATTTCATACTTCGAGCGAATAGTAGGGATTGTGAAGGCCCGTTCGAATAGAGCAAATTCATTAGCTAAATAAGCAGAAAAGGAACAACTCCCTTTTTCAAATTTAATAATGAATTTCTATATTAAATGTTGAAAGGCTTACATTTTGGAAATCCGTAGTGTTGGTTTGATCGCTGATGATCAGATGTCCATTAGTGGTAGCTGCGATTTCGTTCAACGGTGCTGCCGTTCGCTTGAAGCCTAGCTCTCGTCTCAGCAACTCTTTGTCCATTAGGAAAATGGTCTGAGATTATTATAGATAAGAAAGGCGGGAGTGGTCAACATGAGAACAAAACTGGCACTAAACAGTTGTGGGAGATATGCTCGGAAGTTTCACAAGATTGAAGAATTATGGGCAAAGATTCGCCCCGGACAAGACTCGAATGCTTCACGGGCCCTGAAACTTTTATCCCTTAGCCTACTAAGGCTCCTTTGACCTCGCCATTTCAATGCTTTAAACTGCTTAGCCTTCAGAAATGAAGGTCCCATAATGATTTGCGAACTACTATGCTCTCTCATCTACTATGAATGTTTACGGTAAACCTACTACGTTGGGACACGGTACGGTAGCTCGACGTTCCTCAAAAAAGGACTATTGGATAATGTTCCCAGTGTTCCGGGGCATCCACCAAACTGAAAAAAATCCGTATTCATAGAAGTCTGCTCCAGTACTTGAGGGTTAAATCCAGCCAGCTTTGTGAGATACTGTAGTGGATGTTGCTGAGGGAAGTCGCTTACTGACGGCGAGCTTCTTGTCAAGGGCAATCATAGGAGACCATTACTATGTGGTCACCATTAGCGCTGAAGCTCATGCATGGTTTTCGACAAGATGTATATTTGCATTTTATCAGAAAATTTCATTTCTGGGTTCATTTAGTTTTGAATTTTTCTCAAAATTTCCCGTACAGACGTACTAGACCATCAAATACATCTGCAATTTTGCTATGAATGTCGAATAATGAAAGTGGCTTGGAATTTGGTGAACGAGGGTATCTATTTCACTTAACATCAGACAAACTCAAATAGCCATTTGCAGCTCATTGTTTTCATCTCCAACATCTACACAAATTGCTGTCGTCTGATAGGATTGTAGTACTTCCTAAAACTTTCTGGACTCTAGGTTCCCTAGTCTAGTCAGCTTTTGTTTTTCACCCACACAGATATTTTGCAAGGTCTTGCAGGCTACCCCCATAAACCTTTACAATATCTAAGGTCACTCCATTCATCTATCTGTTATCAATTACAGCTTCATGTCCTCATGATTAATTTCATTGCATGTATGTAATGGAGAAATTAAATACCTTCACGTTTTTGTTGACCAATGTAGCAAATTGATCATACTGCGGACTTCTGGGCAGTTTGTCGAGGCAGAAAACAATAAGCGAGTTCTCGTACACTTTGTCGGAATCGGTGACGCTCTAAAAATCACTGTAGAAATGTTGCTAAGTCCTGAACGATTCAGTCGACCGCCCGGAAAATTGGATTTGGGAGTCGCATACATGGATTGGTTCTGTTTGTGAGTGTTGCAGTTGAACGGGGTGCAGTGCTCTCCGCATACACCGTTTGTCGCAGTATATTCGTGAAAGTTGAGATTTAAGTGGACGGTTGCGGTAGTTGGCACGAGACCACTGCCGAGTGCGTCTGTGCGACCGTGAGAATTCGGGTACAAAGCCCGTCACTCATTAAATCTTGATGAAGTCAGTATTGGAGGCAAAGGCATGGCTGGGAATTTTGCAATCGTACCATCGCGCCAAATTTTCCAGGATAGAAACACTAAATTGATATGTTTCGAATGGAATGGGACGGGGCCTTAGCAAAGCACGAGTTTGAGCTTGCTAGTGTTCATTAGAAGCATTCAACGCTAGTTTCACTATGAGGGGACCTATTTTTCGTGTTCTCCAAATATTACTACCAAGTTCCAAAGTGTATGACGAGAGGTGTGTATTGAGGTGAGATCTTCAACCCATAGATTTTGTTTGGTGCTGGTCAAACTTATCGAGGTCTGAGAGGTGGGTATCGGGGCCATCGAGTGGAATAAGGATGGCGGCGAAGTCGAAATTCATAGAATAACTTTTAAATCGTCTCTCGATTGAAATTATCGGTCTGTTTCAAGTCCCTAGCCGGCAGCTTTCGCATCTTGTTTGGCAAAGGATATCCGATGTTAAGACATATATAGACGGGCATTCTTCGAGTATCGGCTGCTCGGATTCTCCTTTTTCCTCTTAACTGGGTTGATTTTTGCTGCTTGTTTGTTCAGAAGGTTCATTTCGTCTATCAAAACACCCAATGGGAGGAACAGGTGATTAGCCTGTGTAGAGGGTAGCATGGTTTCTGCACCACTTGCTTCCTACTAGATTATAAGACTGCTGCCCTTTGCCTTGTGATCCCTCCAAAGGACTCATCTAATTGAACTCTACCGCGCTGTATTCTGACGCCAGCGATACGAAGGGAAGACTGCAAGTCCTACATGGCCGAAGGAGAAGCTTACGAATTTAATGTTTCACTTTGCCTTACCTTGAGTGCTTCTAATACTTGTGAATCTGAACTCGGAGGAGTTCCAGGTATAGTTCCATAACCAAATTGATTATAGACGGCACTTTGGAAGCTTCTGGAATATTCAGGTTCAAGAGACTCAGTAGCAATGCAGTTCAAGTGAACGATGAGCAGAACTGACCCAATGTCTTTTTCCGGATGGTAGGTGATGCTCGTTTCGTTCAGAACTTCAAATCTAACTACACCGAAGTATCCAAAGTAGTTCATTACAGTGTTCAATGTAGTCACAGCAAATATCTGAAATAGATTTTTTCTATTTTCAACCGAAAAAACTGTAAAAGCTAGATATCAAGATATTTATACTGCCTTTCATAATTTGCAAGATTTCTCCCACTTTTCATGCAACCCAAATGATTCAACTCTATACTTTCACGCCTTACTCCTTACCCAAACTAAGCCACTTACACTGAGCGGCTCTCATTACTTATTTCTGTACAATCTGAGCTCGTAGTTCCTATCGTCAAGCGGATACTGGCAAGATGCGTCCCTTCCGTGTTTACTCGATCCTCGATCTCAGATCGCGCACAGCCCTTGCCTACAAACTTTCTTCAGTTCCGACTTCAGGTTGTATCTATTACTAATCCGAAGGTGGTATAGCGGCAAGAGGCGCACTATGACACATGCATGGACCACGGATCGAATTTCTGATTGACTCGCCCAGATTACCAAGTCCTCCATCCCTCTGAGGCCGCTTGATGCTGCTAGGCTCCTATGGGAGGATGGAAGCGCTAAATTGTACATTAACTGGACGACAAAAGCCATTGTATAGGCCAGATACGCATTCAAAATGCTACTAAGATCTGGATTCGAAGTGAAATGCAGGGCGCATCCCAAAGTGGGATTGATCTACGTCAGAGACTTCTTTTTTTCTCTTCATTTTCATTTGTTTCCAATGACAAAAATACTAATACAAAATACACCAATGAGTTCTCAGCGTCGCAAAAAAACCAGTAATAATTCTACGGATGGAAACAGATTAGAAGAGTCCCGGGTTGAGGCCGCAGTTGAAAGGCTGTTGTTAGGCCACTACACCACCACAGAGGCTCGATAATGAGGTTAGGCTTGTTGAAAGGGATCATGCGGTAAGATTTTTGTATGCTGCAGTTGTAGGTGATACAAAAAATGATTTAAAAATACTCGAACTTTTAATCGGCTAGCTTGGGCGTGGTGGGTGCAGAACTCAATGGTCAGTTGCCTCACATCAATTTGGATCGTCCCCCCGAATTTGGAGATATCTCCCAGATTGATTACCCCTTGGCACTTTCACCACAGGATGCATGATTCTAGCGATCACATTCGAAGATACTCAGTCGACATTACTGAGTTTGTTGTTGTCTTGAACTCTTCACGAGGTTTTTAAATAACCTTTATTAGGCTGACGTTTCGGCGGAATCGCCTTCTTCAGAGCCTGAAAGGATCATAACAATCTGTGATTATCCGACCAAACGTCTCCACCAACTCACTAAGTTCGAGACCCCCAGGGCACGCAGGTGGTCGAAAGGAGAACCACTCACCGTAACTTTG